GCGGCGGCACCGACGGCACCGGCGGCACCGGCGGCGGGACCGACGGGGGCAGGGCCTAAAGAGGCGGACAGCCAATGGGAAGGCCAGCGCGGGGGAGTACGGCTCACGAGGAGCATAGGCGGTGAAATGAAGACGGGTATAACAGAGAGCCAATGGACAGCCGCGCGTGAGTGACGTAGACACTGAATGACGAGCAGGAGAAGCACGCAGCCAATGGAGATGCTGGAGTGTGGGCGGTGTGGGAGGCGGGATGATCGCGGGATCAGTGGGGTGGCCAGAGTGGGGGTGGTGTGCGATCCAGGAGGCAAAGAGCAGAGCAGAACAGCAAAAGGGGGGCTCTGGGCAGGAGAGTGTAGGCAGCAGCGAAAGTGGAATGGCTGCAGGCGAAGGCTAAGGCTTAGCAAGAAGCGAACCCAGAGGTCTGAAAAATGGGAGATCCCACTTTTGCGTAGGCTGTGGGATGTAAAATAGACAGGGAACAGCCAATCGGGAGCCACGTGCGGGTGACGTGAGTCAAAATGACGATAACGCCTGTAGCCAGCCAATGGAGAGTATTGTGGGCTTGCACTAGGGCTTCAAGGGACGGTGCCAAGGCCAAACTAGCCAATACAGAGACTAAACGGAGACCAAGAGGCAGTGTGTGAGCGGCTAGGGAGGCGGGACTGTAGGGAGCAGAGCCAATGGAGATGAGGATGGAGGCAGGAGCTAGGAAGAGAAATGGCAGATAGCCAATAGGGGAGCCGGGGTGAAGTCTGTGAGCCCTCAAAGGGCAGTGTGACTATGCAATAACCAATGCCAAGGCTGGATAGTGTAGTGGTGACCGAGGGAGGGCTTGGAGGCAAGACGGGTAGAGCAGAGCCAACGGGGCGGTGTAGGTGATGTGAAGGAAGGCACGAGTAGCCAATAAGAAGGCTAGAGAGGAGACCTGTGTGCAGGCAGAGCCTGGGTTATGGGTAGTTGAGAGAACTATAGGATGTAGGCAACCAATAGAGAGCATATAGTTTTGGGGAATGGATTTACCTTCTCCCTTACCTTCTGTGACTCCCCATTGCACTTCGAATGCTAGAGTCCCTTAAGGCCTAGACTGCACCCTAATGTGAGACCAAAGAAAGCCAAAAGGCTCTCCTTTCACAGATACTGAATATCCCCTATCCACCTCCCATCTCGAGTGATGCCACTAGCCAAGAATGCCTTTGCTTGTTCCTTAATGTCCCCGATTGATTCTTAGCGTTCTCCAAGACTTGACACTGTTGTTAAATGAATGGCCATATGGGAAACGGATCTTTGCGAAGGGTTAGCTTTCTCTAACTTCAGCTCAGCAAACACACCCTCAATGTGTGCAGTCAGGAGTTGATTGGGCATATTGATAGATACTGGCTAATGTAACAAAGCCCTGCCCTTCTTGCCCAGTTTGACACTCGGTGCCCCACAGTGGCGTCACTTCCCTTCTTTCTCTCCCCATGTCTGCCACTGTTCCTTCTCCAAGAGTGCTGTTCCTTCTAATTCTTCAATCTAGTGAATTCCTTTCGCACTACCTTTAAGGTCTCACCTGTGGAACAGAGCTGTAGCTTCTGTCAACAGAATATGTCTATGAATATGTTCCCCCTCCATTCTGGGAGAATTTTACTGAATACCTACCATATGCCAGGTTCTGAGCATGCCATTATCTCAGTCTAACCCCCACAGCATCCCTAGGAGGGAGCCAAACCCCCCCCGCCCCCCCAAAACCTCTCTCTTGTTTAGGTCTCAATATCCAGAAAGAAGTCATGAGTCAGAAAAGAATATGTTCTCCTATAACAAAAAAATCATGAATGAGTAGGGGCTTAAGCAAAATAGAACTTTTTTTTTTCTAATCTAAAAGTTTAAGCTGGCAAGTAGTCCACAGATTCCATCCTGCCCACCCAGCTTGGGTGTCACTGTGTCCTGGCCTGGCCCCAAGACTCGTTCTTCATCAAATCCCATGTGGTCTCTATTCAAAACATTTCCCAAATTCACCCTCTTACTACTATCTCCACTCCCAGCACTGTCACCAGTTCCTTGGACTATTGAAGTAGCCTCCTCCCTGGTCCCTTGCTTCTTTCTTCACACCCCACACTCCTACCTTTGCCAGTCAAGGGACTCTGTTAAATTCTGAGACTATACACATCTCTCTGCTTAAACCTTGTACATCTTCCTCCTCACTGAGAGCAAAAGCCAAAGTCCTTACTGTGGCCCACAAAGTCCTGAATGGTTTAATCCCATTTGTCCCCTCTCTGACCTCACCTCTTACCCTTCTTCCTCTCACTTCACTCTAACTACACCAGCCTCCTTGTAGACCTTGAACAAATCAGGCATGGTCTCACCTCAAGGTCTTTGCACTGGCTGTTTCCTCTGAAATTCCACAAATATCTACATGGCTCCCTCTCTTGCCTCCTTCAAGTCTTTGTTAAAGGCCTCCTTCTCTGAGGACTTTCTCTGACCTGTTTAATCCTGCCCACTCTCCCTCAAGTCCCAGCACACCCAATCCCCTAACCCAGAATCCTTCTATAGGAAAGGATCGGGTCCAGTATACAAATGAGGGAGTAACCTCTGCTTCTTTCTGCCCACCTGGCCCCCAGCCCTCATTCTGCAAAGATCCAGCAGCAGTAGCATCACCCTTCTCACACCCTGGGCCCCATTAAAGTGGCCTCCTGGGACCCTTTGGGCCACTACTCTTCCTTTTTCTCCCACTTGTCTGCCCAGTTCGTCTCATAGACCAAGTGACAGTAAGGGAGGGATGGTCAAGGGAAAGTATAAGGAGAATGCAGGGTCCACACCTCAGACCCTGAGAGAGAAAAACAGCCCCTTCTCCCACCCTGAGACAGGTGCTAGGGCACGATCAGGGCCTCAGCTCTTAGAACCGGCCCGGTTTATAATTACAAAGGTAGTATAGGGAATGCTCAGACTTTAGGTCCACAGGGAGCAGGGCATCATTAACCTTGGGGACATCCCTACAGCCAGGGCCCCAGACTCCTTCCTGGAAAACATGCTCCACACCCCCTCGCTTGCTCCCTCCCACAAGCACAAAATCTGTTAAGCACCTGCTGTACACAGGGTCCCTGCAGACCTCCAAGCTGAGGGGCCTTCAGCCCACCTTGGTGCCTCCCCCGCCGCCTAAAACACACAGGCCATCTTTGGTTCTTAGACGTGTCCCACCAACTCAGAAGCCCCAGCCAGTGAAAGTTCTGTTTTGAACTAATGGTAGGGAGGGTTGGGTGTTTTTTTTAATTGTTGTTGGCTGATTTTTTTAGGCCTCTCTGTCTCTCTCTCTTTCTCTCTCTCTCTCTCTCTCTCTCTCTCTCTCTCTCTCTCTCTCTCTCTCTCTCTACAAAGCCAAGCCATCAAGTCCATTCTGAACTTTTCCAGAAAGGTGAGTTACACTGAAGAAACATGTTGCCTTTTTTGTTTTTGAGGGCGTAGAAGGTGGGGAAAGAGGGGGCAAAGAGGTGGGCCGTGGCCACTAGATTTGTACTGTGTGAATAAAAAGCTATTTCCAATTTCTCTTCCCCAGGCCTAAAACCAGACTTGCAGAAGGGCTGGAGTAGACAATGGATGACTAGAACCCTGAGCCCCACAGAGCACTGGAGAATGGGTGCTGGAAACCTCAGCCACAGCCTGTCAGCAGAAGCCCCTGGAGGCTGGTCTCCCATGTTGACCAGTGGATGGAGCAAATGCGTGCACCTAAGTGAGGAAATGCAGCCTCATCTCTTGGACAACCTTAAGACTACAAGAATTAAGCCCCCAGAGGAATCTTCAAATCCCAGAACCTCCCTGTTGTCTCATTTTAGAATTTAAAGCCTGAAACTGTTGGGCTTAGAGAAACTGGCAAGTTCAAAGCCCAGCACCAAGGAAGGCAGGACCCCCACTTGCCAGCTCTGTGATCTTGGGCAAGTTGCTTGAGGACTCTGTGCTTCCATTTTCCCCATCTGTATAACGGCAGTACAATAATGATGAAATGGACTTCAAAGGGTTCTGGCAAAGGTAGAACACGATTGTTTGTCGGAAGTGTTGGGCGCTAGCTATATCTGGCACATAGAAAATTCAAGACAAAATGTCAGCTATCAGCATGATGGTGGATATTTGGAATCCTAAATCCTTGGAAACCAGGACTTTCTGAAGTAAAACATCAGAACTGCTGAGAGCATCAAAAGCATCAGACTGTGGTGTCCCTCACAGGAGAGGATCAGTGTCCCAAGGGGCCTCTGGGCTTCTTCACAAGATTGAATGGATGCATGAATGCTGGTAGCCTGCTTGGGACCTCCCCAGTAGAGCAACCACCAGGTCAGAGCTCTCAAGCCCCTTAGGGCTTAGTGTTGAGGCCAGATTTTCCTCTCTTCCCTCACTCAGTGACTCTCGGTGGATTCTTGGAGCCAGTGATTCTCAGACTCTCAGTTTGAGAATTGTGGAGGGTAGGGGTAGACTCCCCTCTTTTCTCCATGAAGTACTTACATGCCCATCACCCACTGTGGGAAAGAGGGCTGCAGGGGTGTCTAGTGCACCCCCTCCCTGGGCAGCACGAAGGGTGGTAACCATATCAGTTCCCCCTAAGGGGAAATAGGCCTGAGGCAGGGTGAAACCTCTGGGAACCTAGCCTACACCTTCTCTTCCCTGGTGTTTCCTGTCATAGGAATCTGATAGGGCATCAGATTCCCTCTTTCTTCACCCAGAGACCCTCAAGTATCCTCTCACACACAGAATGGTGTCTCTGCCTACCTTGGGATGCCTCTGTGATTTGAGTTCTTTTCCTTTATTTTTTTTTCTGACTGTACACATTTTTGTTTTAAAAACTGTGGTTTCTCATGAGCTCTGTTATCTATTGATACCTCTCACCTCTGTGGTGAGGGGAAGAAATCATATTTTCAGATGACTCGTAAAGGGCAAAGAAAAAACCCAAAATTTCAAAATTTCCGTTTAAGTCTCATAATCAAGAAGAGAAGAAACAGCAAGAGAGAGAGAGAAAAAACTATGAGAACCCCCCCCCACCCTGTGATTATCAGCACACATACTCATCGAAAAAAAATTGGATTATTAGAAGAGAGGTCTGCGGCTTCCACACCGTGGTTTTTCTTCTCGGTATAAAAGCAAAGTTGTTTTTGATATGTGACAGTTTCCCACAAGCCAGGCTGATCCTTCTCTGTTGATCCACTTCTGTTGACCAAGGTGAGTGTCCCTGTTCTCCCCAACCAGATGCAGGCTCCTGTGGAGGAGATGGCAGGGAGGTAGGCACTGGGGGTTTGGGGGCCTACCTGTATAGATGGACGTGTCCTGTCACTGCGAGCCCAAGCAGGTAAGACCTTTTTTAAAAATAATAATAGTCATAATAAATGCCAGCTAGATGAAGTACTTAACTGATGGCTGGGCAAGGACAAAGATCAATAAATTGATACACAAATGGGTAGGATTTTTGAAATACATCAACTGCCAGTCTTGATGAATTTCAAAGTTTTAAACAACTTAAAATACTGTCCAGGTGTTCCTGGAAATTTCAGCTATGTCTCTTCTCTCTCGGTCCCTCCCATCCTTCTGTCTCACCCTTTCTGTGTTTCTCTGCTCCTTTCTTTCCCTTGACATCTGTCTCTCTCGAACTCAGATTCTGTCCATCTGTCTCCCCAAGGCTCTGACAGGCTCCCTTGTCTCTGTCTCCTCCATCTTGGCCACACTCCATCTATTATTGCCTTTCCTCCATCTCTCTTCCACCCTCTCCCTGCCTCTCTTCTCTTACCTTCCATCGCCCACCTTCCCAGCCAGCATCCAATGCAGAGATTTATGCACAGCTAGTGCTTAATAGTGACTTGAGTGTCTCTGAAGCCATTTCTGTTTTACAAAAATAGGCGGCAGTTCTGTCTGTCCCAGTAGCAGGATTGTGAGTTGTCTGGTCGGGCTGAGCAGCTAACGAACTTGTGCTTGTGTCACATGAGAGACTCTCCTGGGGGCACTTCATGCCATTGTCAACCATGCTTCAGCTATGTGTTGTGGTCCTACCACAGAACTGCATGCATGTGACCAGAGTCTGTCAGGAAGAGAGCAGGCTGTTCAGGGCTGGGAAGAGCTAATCTCTGCAGGCTTAATACAGTACTTGGTACACAGTAAGCACTAAGTGTTAGCTATTAGTATTTTTTAAGCTACAAAATGACTCTGGCAAATTGGAATCATGCTATATGTTGGTTTGTTCCTGCTTTATTCAATTAATAACATTTTGTAGCCCACTAAAAATTGCTTGAACACATGATCTTTCATGGCCCTCATGACTGTCCTCACATCAGCAGGAATTATGAATGACTGGACCAAGTGCTGATTATTGGACCCTCAGATTGTCTAGTTTTTCCCCATAAGCATGCCTGACTGAGTCCTTGGATTCCTGAAAATGGAGTTGCTAGGGGGAAAAGGAATGTATATTTTTAAGGTTTCTGACCATCTCTACAAATGGTTGTTCCGAATGATCCTGTTTTATGGTCCCTTTATTCAAGCTAATCTTGGGTTAATATTATCATATTTTAGTCCTTTCCCAATATAACAGGTAAGCAAAACTTTACCACGCTGTTGAATTTTTTTTTTTTTTTTTTACCGGGGATCGAACTTGGGTCCTTGCGCTTGTGAGGCAGGCGCTGGAACCACTGAGCTAAATCCCCGGCCCACGTTGTTGAAATTTGCATTCTTTGATTACTTTTACTGTCTGTTAGCCATTTGTGCTTTTCTTGGTGGGGGGTAATCAAGTACTTAGTCTTGGGCCAGGGATTTAGCTCAGTGGTTCCGCCGCCTGCCTCACAAGCACCAAGGACCCCAGTTCGTCCCCGGTACCAAAAAAAAAAAGTACTTAGTCTTAATGGGGTGTTCATCTTTTTTCTTATTACTTAGCCATGGCTCTTTATTTGGAAAGAACATTAGCCATTTATCAGTCATATGTATATAGCTGTAATCACTTTTTTTTCCAATTCATCATTTGCTTTTTCTATTTGTTTATGGTGTTTTTTGTGATGCTTAGGATGTTTTTATATAGTCAAATAGGTTGGTCTTTTCTTATATGGTTTCTGCCTCTGGTTTTGTGCTTAGAAAGTCTTTTCCCACTTGAAAATTAGATAACTGTTCACCCTGTGATGGCTTCTGGTCTCCTTTATGGCTTCATTTTTTCCATTTACTGTAGAGGTTGAGTGTGGGTTTTGGAGCCAGACTGTCTGGGACAAAACCAGCATCACCCCAAATCACCTGTGTGATTTTTAGCCAGGCATTCAATCTCTCTGTACCTCCATTTCCTCATATGTACTGTATTGATTATAATAGCACCTATCTCAAAGGGTCTTTGTGAGGATTATACCTATTAATCATGGTAAGTGCTTAGCACAGGGCCTGACACACAATAAACCCAAGATCTACATTAGACATTAAAGTGTTTCTCTGTAATGGGTCTGGAGTTTATTCTGGAGTATATGATAATGTTGTCATTTCAGACTGGACAGGGAGGGTTTGGTGGGAAAATAGACTGATTATTCATTCAGTCGATTACTTTCCCAATCATTCAGAAACATTTGTTAATCTTTTCTCCAACATCCTCCATGTTGAAATGCTACATTCATCACGAACTCTGTCCCCTCTATGCACAGGTCTGTGTCCAAGCTTTCTACTCAGTCTAATCCTTAGTATCTGTCCTCGTACCACGCCCCCACTATTGTGTTGATTGGTGTTTGCAGAATAGTTCAACACCCAGCTATGGGCATCCCAGCACCTTGCCCTTCCCTATCCTTAGTTATTTTAGGCAGCATCAGTCCACCAGCCAGAAGGCAGTGACTGACCTTTATGGGGCAGTCCTCTCTGTCTCTCTTTCTGTATTACTCTATTTATCTCAATGTCACTCTGTTTCTGTCAGTGTCTCCTGCTATCTCTCACTGTCTTTGTCTCTCACACTGTGTCTCTGTTGCACCTCATGTCTCTCTCTTACTTTTTCTGAATCTCTTGTTCTCTACATCTTTGTTCCCCGCTGTCTGTTTCTCGCTCTACCTCTGTGTCTGCATCTCTGTCTCTGTGTTTCTGTCTCTTTGTCTCTATGTATCCCTGTCGCACAGCCAGTCCCCCTGGACAGAGTGAGGGTTGTCAACTCAAAGCCCTGTAGACACCTAATGACTCACAAAGACATAGAACAGAAGGGCCTTGTCCCTCCTCTGCCCCACATCTCTCCCTTCCCCAGTGTAGAAGGGAAAACTGAGACCCACAGATGGGAAGGCGGGCCCCTCTCCAGGCCTCACAGAGGTGCAGGGGCCGAGTTGACACGCAGCCTCAGGTCTCAGGACTCTCAGTGGGTCCCTGGATCTGCCTCTTTCTCTCCTACTGTGAGCCTCAGTTTACTGCTCTGCACCTGTGAAGGGAATCAAGAGGGATGTGAACTGCCATTCCCTCTTCTGCCCTCTCACTTGTTGGACCCTGACTTGGGTAGGATGATCCATGATCACAGCATGGGGAACTAGCCTCACAAGAGCTGATCTGGATGGGACCTTGGGCCCCATAGTTCAAGAGTCTCAGTTGGCCAGAGGAGGGTAATGATGGAAGGATGTCAGTCTGCATGTCCCCAGAGCTGACACTGGTTCCCTATGAACCTCTGTCCTAGCGCCCCTCCAGAGAGCCTGGTGGTGGGCTCCTTTCATGAGGCCCAGGCCAAAGGCCTGCCAGCTTCAACCTCCTCTTCCATCCCCATCTCTGGCAGAGTGCTGTGAGTTGGGGAACATTGTCCCAGAATGGACAGGGAGGAAGACTGGGTCCATGTAAGTGTCTGTTTACCAATCATTGACATTTTGCTAAGTGTTTCATGTGCCTGAACTTAGGAAGGTGGCTCCTATTCCCGTCCTAGTGTACACAGCAGCTTAAAGTTAAAGACAGTTAGTGGCAGAGGCTGGCCTCAGGCTCCAGGAAGAAAGGGGCTTATTCTGACTTTCTGCCTTCATGGAACTCGGGAGATTGAGGGGATGCTTGCTGCCATTCTGGGCCTACTGGGCAGGAGGACTATGAAGAGTGAGCTTCCTGTCCTTGAGGTAGTTCCAATTTGTTTGGACACCAGGGACACTGGTCTACACATACTGAGAAGTTGAATCCATTGACACCCCCCACACACACAAAGTTGGTAGTTTCGAGATTCTAGGATCCTTTTAATCTAAGAAATGATCTCTTTCAATTCTGAGGTCTAGTGTTGTACTGTTTAAAGACCCTGGGAGTCCCAATATTGGTGGGGCCTGCCTGGCCCTCCCTGAACTTCCAACCTAGAGCCTATCGGCAGCCCAAAAAAGGCCAGGTCTACAAAACCTGAGGCTCACTGTAGTGGCCAGATGGACGTCACCCACCACATCCGCCAACACCCACATCACCCCACCTGGGCCAAGCCAGCTGCAGGATGGGCCAGCCAGTTCTCGGAACGAAACCGATGAGGTGGGGTACCTGCCCCCTTCTCTTCCTCCTCAGTGCCGATGAAGCCCAGCGCATCCGGCCGCCATGACGTCAATGGCAGAAATATCTGGGGAAGATGGGGGCTGTGACAACAGGGCCCAGATGCAGACCCTAGGAAAACATAATCTAAGTCCCAGAAACATCCTCCATGCATGCTTCTGAGAAACCTAGTCAGAAAGGGACGCCCCAACAGACAGTGCAGGAAGCCGGCTGGCCAGCCCGGCCCCCCAGGTCCTCCATTACCAGACAGACCATAGCCAGGTCCCCTTTCTGAGAATGTAGCTGTACCTCCCTGAGTCAGGCCATTTCAGACATGCCTGGGGAGAACATTTCTTATAAAATCTGGCCAACTGTCCAGGCAGCTTCAGAAGTGACCATGAGCCAGCCAGGCCCAAGTGGTAGAAAACATCCACTCACCAAAATGAGTAATTGGTCAGGCTACTGTAACAAAGTATCACAAATTGGAGCGCGGTGGATGCTTAAACAACAAAAATTTATCCCCTCAAAGTTCTATAGGCTGAAAGTCCAAGGTCAAAATGTCAACAGGGCTGGGAGGCTGAGGCTGGAGGATTACAAGTTTGAGCCTCACTTGGGCAAAACAGCAACATAGAGAGACCCTCTCTCAAAATAAAAAAGGGCTGAGAATGTAGCTCAGTGTGAAGGCCCTGGGTTCAATCCCCCATACCAGAAGAAAATGTCAGCAGGGTTAATTATTTCTACGGGATATGAGGGAGAATCCATTCTGTCCCATGTCGCTCTCCTAGCTTCTGCTGGTTTGCTGCTCATCTTTGCTATTCTCTGGCTTGTAGAAGCATCACTTCATCCTTGCCTTCACTCATCCATTCCCTTACCCCCTCATCTCAGCACTGTTCTCCCTGGCCCTTGTTCTAAGCCTCCATAGACCCAGACTCCTGATTCTCACACTAATGCCCTAGCTCCCCGGAGTTTAATACCTGGTTGTCACAGCCATCTTCCTCAGCTCCACAGCTCCGACAACCCCTATGAGGTGATGGCAAGGAAAGGAACAACTCCCCCCCCACCCCGAGAACCCTCTGTACTGCTCCAGGCTGCTCTCAGCAGTGTGCTCAACAGGGAGTCGCACACATACACACACGTGCGCACAGGCCCACTAGAGCAGGAGATGTGAAATTCACAGGCACACACATTTCCCAGAGAAAGAAGTGGAGGCCTCAAGTTGCCATGGAACTCTGCACCTGGCTGGTGGTTGGACTGGGCAGTCTCTTCCAGCTCTGGCTTACATACTGGCTGGGATCAAAGGACCCTGAGAAACAGCCTATGCCCTTTGGGTAGTATAAGGTGCTAGGGCTGAGCCAAGGGGCCTGAAGCCATGATGGAGGGCTTTCGGGACAGAACACTGGAAGAACAGGCTTTGCGTGGCTCAGACAGGAGAAGTGGAGGCATGGACATTCCAGGCATGATGAATAGCGTGAGCCAGGGCTTGGAGGAAGGCTTGGGGAACAGAGACTGGGGTCACCACTGATGGAGGCTGCATTGAGAGGGTCCTACAGGCCCTGGCTCAAGACAGCCTGTCCCTCCTTCCCTCTAGCACTTGTCATGCCAGCTCTGTGCAGAACAGGAATACAGAGCTAATCATTCCCCGCCCTTGCCCTGAGCTCCACATTCCTTTACTCAGCTGCTCGCTCAGCATATGTCTAATGCCAGACTCTTCATATTCATCAACACCTGATTATGACTCCCAACTCTGCTCCTCCCATGCCCCATCTCTGGTAATGTCAGCTCTGTTCTAGCTGCTCAAGCTAAACCCCAGAAGTCACCTTGGTCCTCCCTCTCACCTCCTACATCCAAGCTACCAACAACTTCTCCTGATGCACCTTTAAACTAGACTGAAAATCCAGCCACTTCTCGCCAGCTCCCCTGCCACTATCCTAGATGGTGCCATTATTACTTGCTTGGACTGTTGTACTAGTCTGCTCACTAGTACCACAGCCACCTCCCTAGAGCCTGTAACCCTCAGAGCAGCCAGATGAATCTTTTGAATCCATGCCCAAGCCAATGGGGTAAAATAACAAAACCCCCAGGAGAGTGGAAGACCAGCTCCAGCAAAATCAGCAAAGACTGTGTGGCCCATGCAGGGTACAGGGGGTACAGAGGGTACTGGAAGGCAGAGACTTACCCTGGCTGAAGCCCCACAAACCAGTTGCCCATGGCCATGGACATACTGAGCCCATGCCTGTGGGGCACGTGGGTATTCACCTGCCTGTGTTCCTGGCATCACTGTGTATGTGTGCATGTATGACCAGAGATGGGTGCAGTCCGTGGGACCCTTAAAGACATGGCCTGACCAATACCTGCTCTCACCAAAGAGGCTGTCCACGTCCCTTGGGTGGTGGAATATCTGACACCAACCATAGAACATGTGTAATTCCTTCTGTGTCCCTATAGCCTGCCCTTGGACAAGCACCCGATGCCCAACCCCAGGCCAGCCAAGCCCTTGGCCCCTTCCATGGCCCTCGGCCCATCCCCAGGAGCCTCACCCAGCTGGAGAGCTACACCTAAGGCCTCAGACTTGCTGGCACCCAGGAGCCCAGGGGAAACCTTCCAGGGCCGGGACCTCCGCAGTGGGACTCATGCCGCTTCCTCCTCTTTGAACCCCCTACCACCATCACAGCTTCAGGTGAGGCTCAGGGCCCAGAATGGGGCAGGCAGGGTGGGGTACCTGGGCCTACAGGTGTCGACCTTTACTGTGGCACAGGGTGGGAGGGGGGACCTGCTGGGGCACAGGAAGTGGTTTCTGGGTCCCAGGCGAGTCTGTGACTTATGCAGATGTTACAGGGCCAAGAAAGTCCCCACTTTCCAGGCCTCAGAGATTTGAGTCTTTCCCCAACCTCCTGATTCTTATCTCAGGAGAGAAGGAGACCTTATCATGGTTCCATGGGCACAGCCATGTGTCCTCATCCCCATGGGACAGGAGGAGATAGCCGGGGCCCTAGGAGGTGAAGTGACAAGGTTGAAGTCAGTTCTGCCAATTACTAGCTGTGTGATCTTGAAAAAGCCATTTGGTCTCCATAAGCCTCAGTTTCCACACGTGTAAAAAGGAGATGATCATACCCACCTCTCTTAGGGGGCTGAGGTGAGGAGCAATATGAATGAGACGCAGAACAGTAGGATGAGGATGGCATCTCACATGCCTGCCTTCTCCCTCCAGCTGCCCACAGTGCCCCTAGTCATGGTGGCACCCTCTGGCGCACGGCTGGGATCCTCACCTCACCTGCAGGCACTTCTGCAGGACAGGCCACACTTTATGCACCAGGTATGAAGGCTGAATGGGCTTCGAGGAGGGGGCAGGTGGGAGAACTGAGGGGAGGGGGGCCCTCAGCCAGGCTAAGCTGTGATGCATTTGTGTCTGCAGCTCTCCACCGTGGACACCCACGCCCGGACCTCTGTGCTACAGGTGCGCCCACTGGACAACCCAGCCATGATCAGCCTCCCGCCATCCACGGCTGCCACTGGGGTCTTTTCCCTTAAGGCCCGACCTGGACTACCACCTGGTAACACCTCAACACACACCCCATGGTGTTACAGAACCCAAGTCCCCAAGTCCTTGAACATGTGCAGTGTAGACGGTTGTGAAATGCAGTCCTTCGGAGGTCTGAGGGCTCAGGTCTCAGAGCCATGGAAACTCCAACCTCCAAAAAACGTCAGGTTCAAAACCTTAAAGACAGAATGTCAAAATCACAGAACCACAGATCTTTGCAGTTAGTCAAAATGTCAGCACTTGCCAGCGGCTGCCTTTAAGCTGCTCTGCCAGAAGTTTTGGACAGTGGCGATAACAATGTTCCCTGGGAGTCAGGATGTCAAGGCTCAGGAGGGGGAGAGACACTGGGCTGAGCTGTACAGTGTACCCTATCCCTGCCTACAGGAATGAATGTGGCCAGCCTAGAGTGGGTATCCAGGGAGCCAGCACTGCTCTGCACCTTCCCAAGCCCCAGTCCACCCAAGAAGGACAGGTGAGTAGGCAGGCCTGGAGAGGACCTCTCGCCCCACTATCCCCTCCCCTGACACTCTCTGTTCCCCAGCACCCTTTCAGCCATGCCCCAGGGCTCCTTCCCTCTGTTGGCAAATGGTGTCTGCAAGTGGCCTGGATGTGAGAAGGTCTTCAAGGAGCCAGAGGACTTCTTCAAGTGAGTGGCCTGGGCCCACCCCAGTCCAGGGGGGTCCTGTTTTGAAGGCAGAGGTCTGGGCGGCAGATCTCAACTCAGGCCTCCTCCCAATAGGTAGGAAGATGAGAGGTAAAGGCTTAGCCTGAGGGTTCAATCCCAGCTTCATCACACTCTAGCTGTGTGACCTTGGGCAAGTTACTTAACTCCTCTGGGCCTCAGTTTCCTTATCCATATAATGGGGCACAATAATAATGATATATACTAATATTTACCTCCATTTTACATATAAGGGAACTGAGGCCAAAGAAGGTAAATGTCTAAGTTACACAGCTGGGATTTGAACCCAGACAGCCAGGCTTCAGAATGCACACTCCTACCTCTTTGCCCTGCTACCCCTCATGCCAATACACTGTTATTGATCCCCAAAGTCCTATCTCCTCTAGGTAGCGGTTGCTGCCTCTCCTCAGCCCCGCTTCACACACCACACACACACACACCCCTGCATGCCCCTTCTCTAATTATCTAACCATATCCAACTGTTAGCAGCAATTCAGCATGCCCGGGCCTCTGCACGGCCAGGCCTTTGCACAAGCATCTGGAATGCCATTTCTGTTCTCACCTGTCTGACCCACTCTCCACCCACCACCCTTCCAACAGCTCAAGGGGTGAGCTCAGGCCTGGCAGCAGTCGATGCTGCAGGAGCATGTGTAGGAAGAAGGACATATGTGAGGGGGAGACTGAGGGACAGAGGAGAAGAGAGCTGAGTCTAAGGAGAGACTTCCCAACTGGAACACTGAGCCAGGAGGCCAGCCTGCCATGGCCAGCTGCATAGAATCTTCTCCTCCCCAGGCACTGCCAAGTGGACCACCTCCTGGATGAGAAGGGCAGGGCACAGTGTCTCCTCCAGCGAGAAGTGGTGCAGTCTCTGGAGCAGCAGGTAATGCCTGCAGGGGGCAGCTGGGGCACAGGATACTGGGTGAGCCTCCTGCCTACCCTGTGCTAGGAACCAGCTCACCTGGGATGAGGGGTGCATACTCACAGGCAGAGTGAAGGGTGCTCCTATGGACGGCCACTGCCTGGGCAAGGGTGTGGCAGAGGAAAGCCAGTTTAAGGCCTCACTTTTGTACCCATCCCCACAGCTGGTCCTGGAAAAGGAGAAACTGGAAGCTATGCAGGCCCACCTGGCAGGGAAAATGGCACTTACTAAGGCTCCAACAGCGGTAAGCCACCTCAGGCCCTTGGGGATAGCCTAGACTGCTGAGGGGCAGGGGAGAAGGTACTGCGTACATAGGCCCTGGGGTATGTAGGGCCCCCCATCAGCTCCATACATGGCAGGCCTGAGAGTCTCTCCCCCTCCACTTACAAACCTTCTGACCCTACAATCCCAAAACACCATGCTTTTGAACTTTCATAGCCACAGCAAATAGTGCAACACCTAGGAAGGCAGACTGTGTACCCCCACAGCACTACCTCCAGAACTTGCAGGGCCCACTGCAAAATGAAAATGTGGGGCCCCATATGCAGATTTCAGGATGGCAACCTCAGAGTTCCAGTGTAGGGTCCTTTATGATCGCACAGGTCACATGCTTGTGAAGCCTGCTCCAGGTGCCAGGCACTGTCTCGGAGCACTTTGCTGCAACCTGGGCAGATAACAAGACCCAGTTTCTTCAAACATAAATAAAAACACTGAGGCCAGGGATTTAGCTCAGTGGCACCACGTCTGCCTTGCAAGCGCAAGGTCCTGAGTTCGATCCCCAGTACCAAAAAAAAAAAAATCACTAATGTAAAAATAAAGTGACAAGCTTAAGCCTCTGCATCACCACCAGCTCCTCCTGCCTTCCCCAGGCGTCATCCGACAAGGGGTCGTGCTGCATTGTAGCTGCTGGCACCCAGAGCAGCAGTGTCCCAGGCTGGCCCGATCCCCAAGCGGCCTCTGATAGCCTGTTTGCTGTGCGGAGGCACCTTTGGGGCAGCCATGGAAATGGCACCTTCTCAGGTGAGAGTGGTCTACAGCATACCAGCTGATCCCAAGCTCCTAATGCCGACTGATACTGGGGGGTGGGGGGAGGAGGGGGTGGTTGCAAAGGAGCTCTGTATTGCTTCTCCTCTCTCTCCCCTTCCCCACTGCCACCACCCAGACTCCGGGAAAATTCCCCTTCTTGTAAAAGGTTCCTCCCTGGATTTCTATAACCCAAAAGCCTCCTATTATGGCAAAAATGGTATAGCTCTAGCCCTGTCTCCCTTAGGAACTGGAGCCATGCCTCCCCTACTTTGGGCTTTTGATATCCCATAGGGCCATCAGAAGAGGAGGAAACCTAGCTAAGTCATTCCTAAGGACCCTCCCTTCCTCACCCCCATGCCACTAAGGAAAACAAATGGATTCACCCAAGCTCACCAATCCCCTGCTTGGGATGTGGTCTAACAGGGATCAGAGCCCGAGTGTCATCCTGGCCCTACCAGTTAGCTACTCACATGCCTTTGCTGTAGAAGTGACTTCCCTTCTTTTCAATCTCGGGGACAACCACCTTGGCAGGGGTGATGCAAAGAGGAACTGACACAACTTAGGTACTCAGCAAACAGTACCGGTGACCAGACCCAAGTGTTGGTGGTGGGATTTCAGGCATGTGGACTCGAACTGCAGCAGAGGGTGGGACAGGGAGGTCCTGGGTGGGGCCTGATTTGTCCCCACTTACTGCCAGAGTTCTTCCACAACATGGACTACTTCAAGTTCCACAACATGCGGCCCCCTTTCACCTATGCCACCCTCATCCGCTGGGTAAGTAGGACAGCTCCGGCCTGAGGAGGAGGAGGAGGAGGATAGCAAGAAAGAAGCAACAAGCCCATCTCCTAAACTCCTGTCTCCCTCTGCGTGCTCTCATTGTGGGCTCCTGCATTAACAAAGCCCAGCCCTGAGGAGTCCCAAGCCATGCTTCAAATGATATCCCTCCTGGGCCGGGGATTTAGCTCAATGGTTCTGCCGCCTGCCTGGCAAGCGCAAGGTCCCGAGTTTGATCCCCAGTACCAAAAAACAAACAAATGTGATCCCTCCTGCTGACTTTACCCCAGGCCTGTCCCGAACCCAAACTTAAACCACTAGCCCAGACAGTGTGAGCCAAATTCGGACCCCAAACTCACTCCTTTGTAGATGTTCACCCCACTTCTAATCTCACCCCTGAACCCATACCTCACCCTGCATCTAACCTTGTCCCTACGTCTTTACCCTACCCCAGTTCCACCCCCAAATCAGACAGCTCAGGAGAGGCCACCACCCCTCTCAACCCTGACTTTGGGGGAACACTCCTTTTACCCCACCAAAGCCAGTGATAACAAACCTATGGCACACTGCAGCAGGCTGTTTATAGCACTGAAAACTAAGCTGGGTGTAGTAGCGCATGCCTGTGATCCCAGTACATGGGAGGCTGAGGCAGGAGGATCTCTGTGAGTTCAAGGCCAGCCTGGGCTACACAGTGAGACCCTGTCTCAAAAAAAAAAAAAAAAAGAAAAGAAAAAAGAAGAAAACTCTAAAAGGTCCACCATCACTGCTCTAGGCCATCCTGGAGGCTCCTGAGAAGCAGCGGACTCTCAATGAAATCTACCGCTGGTTCACACGCATGTTTGCCTATTTCAGAAACCACCCTGCCACCTGGAAGGTGAGTAGCTCTGAAGGTGGCAATGGCTAGGATGGCCTTGAGTGCCAATAGAGCTCAGGAACAGGCAGAACTGGGGCTGGGCTCCAAGACTATTGGTGCTGGTGGGGGCTGCTGGCCTTAGTGGATTTCTGCCCACACCTGCCCTGGCCCAGCTGGTCCTCCTTCCACAGAATGCCATCCGCCACAACCTGAGCCTGCACAAGTGCTTCGTGCGGGTGGAGAGCGAGAAGGGGGCTGTGTGGACCGTGGATGAATTTGAGTTCCGCAAGAAAAGGAGCCAGCGACCCAGCAGGTGCTCCAACCCTACATTAGGCCCCTGACCTCAAAGCCAAGGAAAGGAAGAAGGATGGAAGGGGTCAAAATTGGAGGCAGAAGTGGTGGGAGCAGGGCAGGCAGGCCCTGGACATGTCCACAGGGACCAAGAAACGAGATATCCACTGTCTCGCCTGCCACAGCCCCTGTTCCCCAGCTTAGCCGCCCTCCTGGATCTTATCTTCTGCCCCAACGCTGTTCAGAGGGTCTCCAGTCCTAGCCCAGCCCCCACCTTCACCACAGCCCCCACTATGGGCCCTCACAGCCAGCCACACATACAGCCTCCCTCGGCCACCCTCACAGATTATCTCAGAGTGGAAAAGTCACACACATACACACACGCAGTCACAATCCTGTCCCCTAGACACCCACAAACCCCAAGACACAAAGAACTTGCCTTGGTATATTCAAATGTCCTCAATGCTGTGTAGTCACATAAACAGTCATATTCGAGCACAGTCCTATCAACTCACATGCCCAAAAGCACAAAGCCACAGCCACCCTCTGGGCCCACGGATCCGAGGTCAAGCAGAGGTATGCCCAGGCCCCCCAAACAGAAGCAGCATCAATCAGTACCCTCAGGATCACAGGTCACAGAAAGCCACACAGACACTTAACTGGGCACACATGGTCTCATGCAACTCCCAACACATGGGCTCAGTCACAGACACAGCCTGTTAAGACTCACCTTCGTATCTCGCATACGGGCACACACATGCACACTCATAGCTCCCCAGTGTGTCTCCTGAGTCCCATGAAGACACACACTGACTCACCAGAAGGTACTGGGTGTCTCACTTGCCAGCCACCCCACTCCCTCCTGAGCCCTGATCCATGCTACAGCTAGACTGCAGAAGAGCCCCTCCTTTATTTGGGATCCAAGGCCCCCAGCTCCCAGTTCCCTCCCCAATAAACTGTAACTACTTCTACACGCTAGGTTATCACCCCAGATTGGGCTTGGGGTCTGGTGGGGAGGCATCTGGGTCTAAAGCCTCAGTGGGAGGAATTGGATGGCCTACAGAACAGCTAGCACAAGTGCTGTCTGCATTACCCCAAATCCCTGCCTATGGCAGGGGGACCTCCATGGGGGACTCCTCAGGCCTCCCGAACCCGACCCAAGAGGCCAGCATTCTCCTGGCGGAGGGCTCTGTAGTCCTCACAGATCTTCTCCAAGTTGCTGAGGGTCTTCTTGCTCATCTCCATCTCGATCTAAGGCAATGTGATGCAATTCCCTCAGCACATGCAGGGCCCCTGCCCAACTGCTGCTTGCCACCCCTTCCACTGCAGCCACTTGGGCCCCTCCCACCCCTGCAATGATAAGTCTGCTTTTTCCATTGACAGCCCTTGGCACGTGTCATTCCCTCCACCTAAGGCACCACAGCTCTAAGAGGCAGGCATGAGGACCCTCAAGGCAGAAGCCTGGGCTTGGGTTAGACCACTGGCCCATCCCAAGTCCCAGGCACAAACACTTAAGGGGCAGGGCTAAGCCTCTAGCCATAGACTTATGTCTAGTCCCATAGCCACTCAGCATAAAGCAAGAAGCTGTCCCCCTGGCCTATCCCCCTTCTACTCTAGGTCTCACCTGCTCCTCAAGGTCTCGAACCTCCCGCATTATAGTGCCTGTGTCCTCAATGGTCTGGATGAGCTGGCTGCAGTTCTGGGGACAGCAGAAGCAGAAGGCTTGTACCCAAGCCAGCCCCTCCCAGCCTGTCCCCAGGCACGCTGCCCTCCTCACCTCATGCAGAGCAGCTAGATACTTGTAGGCCTTCCGGACAGCATCATCCTTCTTGGCATCCTGACCAGGCAGAAGGAACCTTAAAGATAGCAACAGGCTGCCCCCGCTTCCCCCACCACCTCCCTACCACCTCAGGGCCACCCTCTCCCACCCACTCAGAGCAGGGCCAGGCTCCATTATCAATGTGTCCTCAGGGCTCACAGAGGGCCCAGCCCCACCACAACCTGCCCATGGGCTGGCCTGTCCCATACCTTGAACACAAGTTCATCAGTCACTGCAAACGTCCGGTCCAGCTTCCCAGAGAGGGAGTTGATTTCCTTCTGAAGCTCCTTCGTGTCAGACAAGATCTGCCAAACACCAGTAAGGCCATCAGCCCGAGTCTGGGGCAGGATGACCAGCCTGGTAAGGGTACTCATGCACATCCACTCAGGGCATGTGTCACCACATCAGGGGTGACTGGGGTGGACTGTGTGTGACTGTTCCATGTCAGGGTGTGGCTGGAAAAATCTACCTATCAGAAGTCATGAGGACCCCATGTGACTACTCCATGTCTGTCTGCCCACGTGATCTGCCAGCCAGGGCCGTGGTGGCACACCTTAGTGATCTCTTCCTTCTGCTTCCGGATGTTGCCCACAATCTCCAGGATACGCTGGGTGTAGGCCAGCCGGGACACATCCCTTGGCAGAGTCTCCAGCTCTGATACCTAAGCAGGGATACAGTGGGCACTCCCCCACAACCAACACCCCCATTCACCCACTCTGCCACCCAGGGACCCACATGGGCCTTACCAGCTGCTTGTAGACCTCCTCCTTTCTGCGGGCCTCTTCAGCAGCTGCCCGAACACTCTGGTGCAGCTCTTGGATTTCTGCTAGCCGTCGGGAAGATTCTAGCTGCCAGGAGCCCATGGACAGAGAGCAGTGAGCAGAACTCAGAGATTGTCCCCTAGGAAGGCCCAGACCTGCTCCACCAACTGCCCAGGACCCCATCACCTACCTCTCTGCAGTCCTGAAGCTTTCGGAGGTGCCGGTACTCAGCAAGAAGCGGGACCCGGTGCTTTTCCCACTGACTCGCCAAGTGGATGACCCTCTGGGCACTGCTCTCCACCACAAGCTGGTGGGGGAGAGGGGAACATGTCTCACAGGCTGGGCCCATCCAATTCTGCCCCTCTGGCCCAGCCAGCACCTCAAACCCCAGCCCACCTGCAGCTTGGCAAGGTTAGCAGCCCCATCGGGCAACAGCTCCACTGCTTGGCTCTTCAGACGCAGGGCCTGCTCCCGCTCTGCAGTGCTCAGCTCACTCTGCTGACACTCAGTCTCCACCTGTCACACACCAGGGCCCCCAGCACCAGTGAGCCGAAACAGCCCTGGCTCAGCCCAAGGCCTCACATATGACAACATGGGCCTCCAGCCACTCCAGGCCCCTCTCGCCCTCCAGCTACAAGCCTATGCCCAGGAGCCCTGAGGAGCTGACCAGCACCTGCCCACAAAGACCCTTCTTATCTCACCAATGCCCACAGACCTTCACAGCCACCAACAAGGCCTGACTGATGCCCACAGGCTCCTCTGGCTCCTTTAGGTCCACCAAGCCCCCAACTTCACATTCCCTTTTATCCCCACCAATTCTCCTGAACCCTCAAGAGCCCCAGAGGTCCCCATTCCAACAAAGCCTGCTGATATCTGTTGACCTCTCAGCCTGCTCAAGGCCCTATTTCTGATCCAGCCTCTCACCTGCACAAGGCTGATTCCCAGCGTCTTCATGTCAGCTTCAACCTCTTCGATGCTGTGGTTCACGCCCTCCAGCTGCTCCCGAAGGGACTCGAGCTCCTGTTCCTGAGCTGCACGTATGTCCTGGGAGGTTCAGGCCAGTTGAGGTGAAGGCATCAGGCCCAGCAGACAGGCAAGGGCCCAGGTCTCTCCTCACTGCTCTACTCACCTGTTCAGGCCTCTGGGCGGTGGCTGGCACATCTGTCTCCTGAGCTGTCTGGGCCTGGGGCTCCTAGGGCATAAGAAAGGGCATCCTAGCTGTTAGGAAAGGCCTGCTCCTCAGGGCCCAGCCTTGGCACCCCAGAGCACCCCCACCCCGCCCAGTGCCGTACCCACAACCACTCAGCTGCTCACAGCTGTTAAGCTGTGACTACAGGAGGGTAGAGGCACAATCTGCAATATCAGACTAGAGTGTTTGCTCCTGAGAACCTTCCCTCAGTGTCACAGCTGCCCTAAATCCCCATGAGAAAGACCACTGGAAGGCATCCAAAGAGAGAAGCTATGCCCAGGAGATAATTAGGAAAGGTGGGGTTTGTACCAAAAACATCCCTCCCCTTTACATGGTTCCCATAATCTGCCCTTTCTTTTTTTTTTGGTACCAGGAATCAAACTTGGGACCTTGCGCTTTCTAGGCAGGCAGCGGAACCACTGAGCTAAATCCCCAGCCCTGCCCTTTCTTCATTGAACTCCCAAGAAGCATGCCAGCGGGCTGGTTTTTATCACTGAACGCTCTAAAAGGTTCACCACCACTGAGCTAGAGGAATCCTCTGGGCACCCTCTCCACTGGGCAGTGGGTCCACCCAGCAGGCACACAGGAACCTTGTAGGAAAAAGTACAACGTTTATACATAAAGCAGCCCTCAAGCCTCCCACGCCCCATCAGCACCCCCATGTCCACTCAGGCCCACCCACCAGCTGGAAGGTGAACTTCTCTGAATGTGTGAAGCGGGAGCCCTTGGGGGCACCAGTCCTGGCTCCAGAACCCCAGGCCTGCAGCAGCTCTCCCAGGTCTCGGGCTTGTGTGGAAGCCCCCGCTGGACCCCAGCTCTGGCGCAAGTACTCAGTCAGCTGCTTCTGTAGCCGCTGCTGTGGAACCCGAGGATCCTCCTGGAACGAGCAGGCAGGGAAATGGGAGGGCGTGGAGGCCTGCTGACCCCAAGGACCTGCCTCCTCCAGGAGCCACCTGACAAGAGCCACCCAGCCTCCAGTCCTTCCACCAAGGCTAGCCCTGTCCCACTTCCCTGCCCCACCAGCCCGGGTGCTGCCTGAGGACAGGAGAGCACCTCTTCCTCATAGTCAAACCACTCTCCACCTGCTCTTTCCCAATCTAGGGAGAGAGAGAAGCCTGGAACCCCCAATCAGAGGGACACAGAAAGGATGTGTAGGATGGAACAGACAAAGAATCACAGGTGCCAGTCAACGAAGGGAAAAGGTGAAGGAAAGATAAGAACAGAGACAGTTTCAAGACAGCTGGGGAAATCTGATTAATAAACTCAGGATCAGACAATACTAAGAGATCATTATTAATTTTGCTAGGTGTAAAAATGGCATTGCAATTACATTAAAAATTGTCTCTATTACTAAAGAGATGTAGTCTTAATTAGAGTTGAAAGGATTTGCTGTTTTTTGGTGCTAGGGGTAGAACCCAGGGCCTGGAACATGCTAGACAAGTGTTGTACCACTGAGCCACACCTCTAGCCATGGGGGTGATTTGCTTTTTGTGCTAGGGATTGAACCCAGGGCCTTTGCACTGAGCTACACCTCCACCTGCCCTTTATCTATTATTTATTTCGAGACAGGGTCTCACTGAGTCATGAAGCAGCCCAGGCTGGGCTCAAACTTGCAATCCTGCTTCAGCCTCCCAGAGTGCTATGATTATAGGAGTGTGTCACCATGCTCAACTTGCTTTAAAATAATACAGAAAAAAAGTTGAAGGACAACAGAGGAAGATTGGAAGGTAGTAAACACAATTCATTAGACTATTTTCTCTACTTTTATGCTTGGAAATTCCTATAAGTTTAAAAAATCAGGGGGCTGGGGATTTAGCTCAGTGGTTCCACCGCCTGCCTCGAAAGCTAAGGACCCGAGTTCAATCCCCAGTACCATAAAAATAAAAAAATAAAATAAAAAATAAAAAATCAGGGATAAAAATGGAACAAATGGCAGCCAGGGAGGTAGGGACAGACAGAAAGAGACAGTCACAGAGGTGGACAGAGGGGGAGGGGGACAGATATGGAGGTGGCCAGAGAGGAAGATTGGAAGAGACAGATAAATAGGTAGACACAGGAATAAGTGACAAATAAAAGAGGTGGACAGATGGTAAGGGGACAGATAAAGGAGACAGAGGAAAAAGAGATAAATGGGCAGAGAAAGGGCAAGAGGGGACAGACACAGAGGTGAACAGAAGGAGAGAAATGAGGAACACAGATATGAGGAAATAGAAAGGGTGAGAAAGGAAGAGCAACGCCAAAGAGTAAGAAAGGCAGTGACAGAAACCTAGAGACAGAAACAGCGAGCACTGTGACAAGTGTGGAGACAGAGTGAGAGGCTCAGGGTCAGGAAGAAGGTGGGAGAGACAGGGAGGAAGGCAACCAATAATGACTGCTCCCAGTGTCAGGGATGCAAAACCCCGTCACTGCCCACTACCCCATTTTTCAGAACAGGAAATGAGGCCTTGAGAAGGGACACTGACTTGTCCCCAGTTCAGTCTCCCTGACTCCTATGTCCTTTCAGGTGGGGCTGGGTAGATGTACATGGAGAGGAAGCAATGAGAGAGAAGGACCGAGTGAGGACCGGGAGGGGCAGAGGGCCAAAGGGGGACACCGTCACTGCCACAGGGAGGGAGTCCAGCAGTAGGCTGTACCTGGGTGGGAAGGCGGGGCGCCCTTCGGACCCAGTCCTCATCTCCCGGGCGGTCCCGGCCCATGTGCTGGCACAGCTGCACAGTGTGGCTTTCAAGGAGTGAGGCCGCTCTCCCAGCAGGCCCCAGCACCTGCGTGGGAACTGGAAGCAGCAGAGGACTTGCCTGGAACTCCCGAGGCTCTAGAGGCAGGAAAGAATCAGCCAGGCCTCCTACACAGTACCTCTCTCCTCCCCGGCCCTCCCCACAGCATAGGCTCACCTCCTCTGGAGCTCAACTCGGGCATGACTAGTGTGCTGGTGTGAAAAGGCTGCTGGAGGGCCGAACCCTAGAGGGACAGCAGAGTCACCAGTGGGAGGGGGCCAACAACCTGAGCAATCAGATGAGACAAGGCAGGCAAGCCAGGGACAACTATAGTCAGACAGGAATCAGGCATCTCACCTGGAGGCGCTGGAGCTTGGGAGTGCGAAGGAGAGGTGGCACCCAGGGCAGGGCCAGCTGGTCCCGTATTTGGCTCCCAATGGCCCGGAGGAGAATAGATGAGTCACCTATGGGGGCAGGAGGGTTAAACAAGTGACAATGCTGCAAATCCAAATGTACCCACTATGGGAAACCAGCCACGGTCCCTGATCCCTCATCCCTAGATACAGATCGAACCAGCTAACATTCTCACATTCAGTCATTCAACAAATACTGGGCAAAAACTAGGTACCAGTCACTGTTTTAGACACAAGAGTGAGCCACCTCGGGGAACCAAATGATAAAGGTCCCCATCCTCATGGACGCAGCAAGCTAGTGTAGGACAGAGTTCATGAACAGGATCTTATATATGATCCAGAACAGTCAAGTGGTGCAGGAAAGAAGGTCTGCTGACATGAGGCTGGCATGCTCCACAGGCAGTCTGAGGAAGCCCGAAGGTGACACATGAGCAGCAACCACTGGGAACCAAGCGGTGGAGCATGACAAGACCCAGGGATGAACAGTCAAAAGACACAAAGGCCCTGAGTATGTCCCACATTTGGAGAGCTCCAGGGAAGTCCATGAGGTAAAAGTGGAGGGAACGAGGAGGAGGGTGTGGGGCAGTCAGGGAGTCAGCTCAGCACCGAGCCCTGTGCCACGTGCCCTGCATCCACTCCCCAAACCTCCCATGGGTGGCCCCCCAAACCTCCCATGCAGCTCTCCTAAAGTCACTTCCACCCCTGACCTGCAACCTCCATGCCACCTCTCTGTCCCTGTCACCCCAAGAACATGCTCCATCCCTCCATACCACACCACAGGCCCCCGCACCTGGAGGCTGGTCTGCATCCTCGGAGGCGTCAGTGGGCAGCCGCTCAGCCAGGAAGAGAAGCAGGTCCCGGAGGTCCGGCTCACTGGGGTAGAGGAAGTTCTGATAGCCAAGCTCCAAAGGGTAGCCCAGGTCCTGCATTTTATCAGTATTAATCAGGTGACAACACTGAGCTTTTGGAGATGCCCCCAGCAGCCAGGCAGGCAGAAGAGTCTTCCCACCTTGAGCCCTGGGCCTAGGCCCCAAGTGCACCCACTCACCAGCTACTACCTTTCCAGCTGGGCCCCACATTCCCAAGCGGCAGCACCTCCAGGTGGAACTCCCAACTCTGATCTGACTATGCTTGTCCTATCTCCCATCTGTTGCTCAGGTCCTTGGCCCCTCCTACCAGTGACCCTTGTTACATTTTGTCCCAGAAATTCTGACTGCTCTCCTACCAGGGCTCTGCAAAGCCTCCAGGCCCCTAGGCTCAGCCTCAGAGCAATTACAGCCAGTGCAACAGAGAGCTCTGGCCTTGCGGTGACTCAAAGTCCAGAGGCCGCAAAAAAGAAGATGGGACTTCTCCCAAATGAAAAGAAATAAACAATTTCAAGAAAAATATAATTAAGCCGGGCATGGTGGTGCACGCCTGTATTCCTAGCACTCAGGAGGCTGAGGCAGGAGGATTGTCACAATTTTTTTTTTTGGTACTGGGCATCAAACTTGGGACCTTGTGCTTGCGAGGCAGGCGCCTGAACCACTGAGCTAAATCCCCGGCCCGAATTGTCTCAATTTTGAGGCCAGCCTGGGCTACATAGTGAGTTCAAGGTCAGCCTGGACTACATAGTGAGACCGTGCCTCAAAAAACAAAACAAAGGGCCGGGGATTTAGCTCAGTGGATCCACCGCCTGCCTCGCAAGCGCAAGGACCTGAGTTCGATCCCCAGTACCAAAAAAACCCCACAAAAACAAAAAAAACACCTATTTTGGGCGGGGATTTAGCTCAGTGGTTTTGCTGCCTGCTGCGCAAGCACAAAGACCTGAGTTCGATCCCCAGTACCCCCCAAAAAAACAAAACAAAACAAAACAAAAATATATATATATATATGACAGAGTCAAAAGAATAATGACAGGTTGGGAAAAATATCTAAAGCCCATATTGTTGCAGAAATCTTGGAAAGAAATACACGGAGACAGAGAATTCAGATAAAATAATAAAATTTCTTCTTGCAAGCGGGCCAGGAGCACCAGAAGCAGGTCTGGTTAGTATCCGCCCCCCTTTGTTCAGCATTTCCCTTTTTATATCCTTTTTAGCCATTATCTCATCCCTAGTGGTCTTTGATGTGTAAATACAATTCCAGTTCCTATTTACAAGTCACAGACACAAGATAGGCACATATACATTGTAAATTCACCCTCACATTGTAACTTTGTTAGGTTAATGAAGTTACTGGTTAAAGAGTCAGATAACTATCACCTTAAACAAGGGGTTATGGGAAAAGCAAATCTTAAAAGAACACATTACTTATTTTGCTTCTACAACTACTTTAATATTCAATCCATTAAGTCATCTAAAATTTTTCCCTATCATTCCTCCCTCTGTTTACTTCAGGATAATTCTTCTATCCATTACAAGTTCTATTCAGTTTATCTACATGTCTTAACACTAGCATTTGATAGTCTTGAGCTGCAGCACTGCACTACTGTATAAATTTTGAAATCCATTGGATGACACAAGGACCAAACATTAATATTAATATTATAACAAGAAGGGGACTCAGAAGAGGTCCTATCCAAGTATTTTTCATCCTGCCCAAGTAAAATTAATCCCATAGGATAGCTCTCCTATACCAAATTTCTCATCAAGAGCCTTTGTCTAGTGATTTTTGTACTACACCAGATTTATTAGCATACTAACAACTCTCTTCACCAAGAAATAAACAAGTCCCTCCTTTCTGGGCTGTGATCAAATCGAGAGCCTATTCTGTAATGACACTGGCCAGTGAATCTGATAAATTTCCCTCCAATTTAGGGTGGCTGCTGTATATAATAGCTACCTTCTTTCCAACACACCCCTACTCCCACCAAAAGAGTAACCTGATGCTTGCTCTCCTCCTGGCAACTAGTGACATCACAGGCTTCTCCAGTCCCTAGCCACTACCTCACTCAACCCCACCTCAGTTCCTACAAGCCCCTATGAAAGGCACTTGCTGTCATGGCCATATTGCTTTTGTCTCTCCTTTGTTCAGAGACAGCCCGGCAGATCTGTTCCCCTAATAAAGGCTTGTTGTGGCCTGGTCTGCTGTTGGTTTTCAGCCTTTTACCTGACATTTCTGGTGCCATGACTTGGATGGTAGATGGTCCATTAACAGATGATCCCCAGCGGGATGGGGTTGATTGGCCTTTTGGCCATCTCCATCGGACCATATCTGCTGAGCCAGGACCCTCACGGGGGTTTCTACCTTTGCCATTGCTGACGCTACACATCCACACCGGTCACCAATGTCTGGGTGAGTGGGGAGTTCAGCCTCCCTCTCGTTGGGTTCTCTGTCTTGTTCTCTCTCCCTCCGGGGACTTCTCAGAAATCCAAGCGCTTGGTCAGAGAAACCCCCTCGGCCGTTGGGCCCAGGACCGTGCCCCTGGGAGACGTCCCATTGGCCTGGCTCCTCTCATTCTCTCCCTCTGGGAGACTCACTCGGAGATTGTCAAAGGAGACATGGACACTTCTCCTCTTTGTCCTTCTCCCAGGGGGCTGCCTCCTCCTCACTTGCTCTAACATAGGAGCCCAACAATCCAAACCCCACCCCTCAACACCTCTGGGCTGCCTCCTGGCACAACTCAAACCCCTCGGATTGTTGGGACCAGACTTTAAGCCAAAAAGACTTGTTTTCTATTGTAATCAGGTTTGGCCTCAGTATAAATTAGATAATGGGTTTCCATGGCCCAAAAATGGTACTTTCGATTTAACATACTGAGTGATTTACACAACTTCTGTCAGAGCAATGGCAAATGGTCAGAAATCCCCTACATACAATCTTTTTTCTACCTACGCTCTTGACCTCCCCTCTGTCAAACCTGTTCTCCTTCTCAAGTACTCCTAGCCTGAGCCAATAACTCACCGCTCATACCTCCCCCACCTTATAACCCTGTTGATAGGGAAAAGTTTTAAAGTAAGTTTAGTAGATTAGCTATTAAAGTAGTTGTGGAAGCAAAATAGGTAGTGTATCCCTTTAAAAGCTTGCCTTAGCCCATTGCTTCTGCTGTTTAAAGTGAAGGTTATATAGCTCCTTTGATTTGTAGCTCCACTGTAGATAACATCTTAGCTCTGAAAACCAAAGTAAGAATCCTTGAACAAACTTGTGATATATGTGCCTTAACTGTCAAGTGTTTAGAACTGTAATCAGTGACAGAAACCACCTGTGTCTAACCATTAAACAGGAATTGGAACTTTATTTACTTAACAAAGACCACTAGGGATGAGATAATGACTGACAAAAGTATAAAAGGTTTATAGTGAGTTGGAGGCAAAATATTTAAAAAGCTATAAGTAAAAGATATATTTTTTATATAAAAGGATTTATATGTTTGTCTTGTTAGCAGGACAAGACCAAAAGGCCTAGGTATGTCAAGAAGGTGGGCGGAAGTGATTTATAAAGAAAATATATATGTTTGCTTGTTGGTTTCAAGTTTGTTATAAAAGGTTTACAGGAATAGAGTTTTCATTCCTTCTGATTCTAATTCTACAAGAGATCTCTGTTAGTTGACTTATAGAAAGTTTTGAATAGTCTTATTTATAATTATAAACCTAAAAATTATAAAGAGATATTATAATTCCATTGGGCTAAATATATTTGAGTGCACTCTAGTTTTATAAACTGTCTTATATCTTTGTTTTTTGTCCAATCGTACAGCTGTTTTGTTTATAGATAAAGGTTATTAAGTTCAAGGCATGCTCCCCTTGGTGAACAAAGGAGCAGCTGCATGGAAATATTTTCCAGTCTTTGTTCAATAGGGGGACCTCAACAGTTTTCATCTTACAATAGACTGACCCAATAGTTTTCATAGCCTTATAAAAGACTTACAGCAATAAATATTACTTAAATATATTATTATACTATGTTTACATCAGTTGTCATCAAAGGGATAAATTCTAAATATGCTATTATGGTATGCTACACTGGTCATTTTCAAAAGACTAAATATCCTGTAAAAAACCAGTAACAAGGTTTTAGTTTTTCTGGTGTACTAAATGTATTTATACTTTCTGACTGTACAGGTTTTCTAATATTTGTTTATGATAATAACCTCTTTTTGATTCAGGTATTTGCCTTTTTCATACACTCCAGCTATTTATGACAACAGATACATTTATGGGCTGAGATATTTTCTTTAGATGGTATCCTATCAAAATATAATAATTTATTTATTTTTTGAAAGATAATAATGTAGGTAAAAACTTTTGATGCTTTTAAAAAAATGGGTATGGGGGCCAGGGATTTAACTCAGTGGTTCCACCACCTGCCTGGCAAGCACAAGGACCTGAGTTCAATCCCCAGTACCAAAAAGAAAAAAGAATATGTTTAACAATGGCTATTTTATATCAAGATGGACATTTAAATGTGTTACAAAGGTAAAGACATCATAATTGTCATGTTAAAATATTACTTGTGGGTCTTTTTCTGTTAATATTCTACAGGAATTCAACTACTAAAACCACCATGACTGATAAAAATAACAGTTCTCTGTATTTTAAATTCCAAAATGCTTGTTATTCAGGTAAAATTATAATAGTTAAATTCATTACTCTTGTTACAATGCTAATGCTATTATCCTTCTCTTCTGGGTGTTCAACAACTAAAGTTTGGAGACCAAAACTAGAAAGGTAACTGGGCTATGAGGACAGCCAATATTTTGGCCCCAGCCCCTCAAGGTCAACAGAGATCCAGGACATGAGGGAACCTTCTCTACAGGGTCCTACATCTTTGGTAAGTCACTCACCCTCCTAAACAGTGAGATTGCTGGACACCAGAGGACAATGTACTGTGTGCCAAAGGAGGGTCACCAAGAAAAAATCTCCCATGCTTTCACTGAAAGCAACTTGGTCAAGTAAGGCCATCACCCATCCAGATGGCTGACACTGACAGAGGAGCAGGGAGG